AAACGATGCAATTTTAACAAATGATTTGTAAATGTGCAATACTCACAGTTGATAACTAGAACTATGTGGATATCCTCACATCCTTCACTGTTACAAGCTTCACAAGTATAGTTTCCATCATCACTCCTACTGATGTTTGCAAAGGTCAAGCTGGCAGTTTTAGTAGCAGAAGACAACATGGCTCCTTTTCGCAGCCATTTCACATTTGGTGCAGGTTTTCCTCTTGCAGTGCAAGTTATATTCACAGATAATCCTTCGTTGTAACTTATACCAACAGATGGGTTATCAATTTTTGGTTTTTCTGAACAAATTAAAAAGCACACAGATTAATGTATCCATCTTATTGAAATGATAACATAGCTTTACAAACAAAAGCAATTAAGCTTAGTTTTGACACCCTAGTTCCTCACCAGCTGGCTCTTGGCTTTACAATTTTCTTTGAAAGCCCTCTTAGTTTCACAAATAATCAAGAGCTACTAGTTCTCAGTAGCAGTGAAAAAACCAATCTCGAATGAACAACAAGAGGAAGTTTGCCTTTGTTTGCTTGATACAGAGTGTAATGGTATTGTGCACCTCCGTATTAAAAGTGTAAAGCAAATTAACAACGACATGAATACGAGTGTTGACACGCTTTGTAAATTTGGCACCTTGGGTGGGGGGTAAGGCTTAGGTGTACTTTTGTGTAAACCCTAAAGACTGAGGCTAATTCACAGCTGTAATAGCTCAAGGAATATTTTGAGTCAATTAGAAAATAACATAATTCTTTTCCAAAAGTGAGATATTGCATCTTTCCATAAGTTCCAGATACTTTATACCTATTCTGTGTTTTTTCCCCAAGTATCGCTTTCAAAAATCTTGCTTCCAGGTGTTGCAAAACATAGCATAAACCAATGGAAAAGCTGGGTTTTATACTAAATATCCTGTGATTAACATGAAAGGCTATTTTTGTTTTCATTTGTGTTGTCCAAGACAAAATGGGCAAAACCACGCATGGGGTGATAATACTGAGAACACTTATTTTGCTTAAACTAAGGTTAAACAATTTATTTAGAATAACAGATCTCTCGCATTTTCAAAAGCCCAAGCAGAAGTCTAAGTGTTTCTTATCTTATCGTGAAGTTGGTAACACTAAAAGACCCTTTGCTGTATAAACTCTACTGTCTCTCTGACTGAACGTAGCAATGTCTCCCCTATAGTCAACTCTCTCGTAAGTAACCATCCTCAATAATTAGAAAAAATTGTTCCGAAGTAGAGCGTTCCCAAAAGTGGACACCAATAAAATATAGGGTGTATGTCCGCTTACAGGAGAGAAACAAGAAGGAAAGTAGACCATGACGAGCGTGATCATAACATGAAACTATAAATGTTACGTCGTACTCTTGTTACCATCAAAGCCATAACATAGTGCCTACACACAAAGGACACTAAAACCATAACACAAAACCAACAAACGGTAGTCACAAAAACCATAACATAGTGCCTACAGGCGCTGGGATCAAAAGCTAGAACATAGTGCCAACACACACTGGGCGCAAAAGCCATAACATAGTGCCTACAAACAATGGACACTAACACCATAACACAGAGCCAGCAGACGGTGGGCACAAAAGCCATAACATAGTGCCTACACACGCTGGAATCAAAAGCCATAACATAGTGCCTACATCGTGCCTACAAACAATGGTGACAAAAGCCATAAAGTAGTGCCTAAACACAGTGGGTACTAAAACCATACCGTAACTAGGCTCACAATTGTACATGGCATTGCAATATTGTCATAGGTTTAGAATTACATCTGCAGAAACTATT